GATCATTCGTCAGAATTTGTCAGAAACTTTACAGAAATAAAAGCAGCCCAGCCAATGTCAAGAAAGGGCGAAACAACAGCGAGGGCTCAAAGGCTAGCCGCAAATAGAAATCTTGGGCCAGTTCCTGTTATCACTTGTCCAAATTATTATATTTTAAAATTATAACGCGGAACAATTTTCCTTAACCTCCCACTTTTCTGGTCTGTTGGAATACAACTTCTGTGAGGGAAGATGATGGCATTGTAGTCTAGATTGGGGACGGGCTCTGAAGAGTCTGGCGGCGGGAAATATATTAATGATAGCAGAGCATCAACATAACTCAGTTCCAAAAATTAAAACATCTCTCTCTCTTTTTACAGTAAATGGCAGAAACTGCTCAGTTTTTTTAAAAAAGTGACTTCAGTATGGGTCATTGTGACCATTTATTTTTTATTTATTTTATTTTTTATTTTTATATGCCGCCCTTCTCCGGAGACTCAGGGCGGCTTACAATGCGTTAAGCAATAACCTTCATACTTCTGTATATTTTTATACAAAGTCAGCTTATTGCCCCCACAATCTGGGTCCTCATTTTACCTACCTTAGAAAGGATGGAAGGCTGAGTCTACCTTGAGCCTGGTGAGAATTGAACTCGCAGTAATTGCAGGCAGCTGGATGTTAAATGCTGCCTTAGTAGGAGGCATTAGCCTCCTACGCCACTCAGGCTCCTATTACAAATGGGGTTGCTGCTGAACTATTAAATGTGTTAAATTGAAGTATCTGAGAATGAAAAACATTTAATGCTTATTTTAGCCAGGGGAACGTTGGAAGGGAAAATGATTCAGTTTTTAAAATAAACCTCCACGATTGTTCCATTTGGATTCTTATCAAACTACATAGATTGGATGGATGGAGAGATACAGACAGACAGACATGCAAGACAGGACAAGTGACACATATGAGTACGTTTTTACAATGGGTACTTTAGCTACATTTTCGAGCTTGCAGTCGCTTGCAAATTGGGCTTAGGGAGGATGATTTTTCTTAGGTTCCAGATGCGTTTCTCAGCACGTTCCCTCCCAACCAATATGCTGCATATAATGGGATTCTTTTACAGCAGTGCCTGTGGACAGCGAAGCAGCTACCAAAAGTGAGCAGGTTTGAAAACTTTTCTAGTTCCCCTAGTTGTTATTCGTGTGTATGTGTGTGTGTGTGTGAATAAAAAAAAAAAATCTGGATTTCTACAACAAATGCCACGCCCACATATACACAGAGAATGGAAGCATTCCGATCACAAGAAATTGCTCCATGTGACAGATTGAAGGAAAAAGCTCACTCCCGTCTTCCCACAGCGGTGTTATTGAGGCAGGATGGGAGGAACGTTGGATACACTGTGACTGAATAATTTGGACTCGGATATGATTGGTGGCCCATCTGCCACAAATTTCCCCGAAGTTCTGCCAATAAACCATCCACCACCACCACTCTACATAACTTAGCAGTAAGGAAGGCTTCTATTTTCAGCGTGGGGGGGGGCATTCTAAATTTTGACCAACGGGACAACTTAAGGTTTCAGAAATCCCTCCTACCGGTAGAAGGAATCTAAATTCCTTCCTATTAGACTTGGTGGCGCAGCAGACTAAAGTGCTGTTAAGTAGCACCAGCTGCCTGCAATTACTGCAAGTTCAAATCTCACCAGGCTCAAGATTGACTCAGCCTTCCATCCTTTCGAGGTAGGTAAAATGAGGACCTGTTTGTGGGGGCAATAAGCTGACTTTGTATAAAAAAAGAACACCGCTTAGGGGGAGGCCGAAAGCCCTACTAAGCAGGTATATACAAAAGTATGAAGGCTATTGCTTAAAAGCATTGTAAGCCGCCTTGAGTCTCCGGAAAAGGGCGGCATATAAATCGAACCAATTAATTAATTCCAAATTTCCCCCTCTTTTCATTTAGTTGTTTCAGCCCTACCTGCCCCGCGACAACTAGGGCAAGAACCAGCTGCCTCGAAGAGAGGAACTGGACGAGTGGGAAAGGAAGAGGCGCAGAAGCCTCCAAAGGGTATCTGCCAGGGTTTGGGCCCCGGTCTTCCTGGATGTTTCCAGACGACGTCCCCTTCTCCTCAAACTGGTAACAAATTAACTGAACAGACCGCCCGCTTTGACCCAAGCACCGTGAGGCCTTGGGAGGATTAAAGTTCAAAACCTTTTACAACTTCCCCTGCCTCGGGTCGGGTGATTGATGTGGGAAAAGCTTCCTTCGGGACAGCAGGGCGGGCGGCCGTCTGACTCGGCTCTCGCTCGGTTCCCAGGTGGATGCCTTAGTTAGGCGAGCCTCCAGCAGGTCGCCTCTGCCGTCTCCCGTGTCACGCTGAACCAGGATTATATATAACTAAATACGATCGGGGTTCGGTCTCTACATCGCTTTACCCCTCCCTTTCATTAAACAATGTTGAATAAATCAATGCGGGGGGTTCACACTTGCTGCTAAACTGCGCGGTTATTCTAAGCGAGAGCAAAGCAGTTTAATGGGACGTGATTAAACCAGGTTCGGCAACTGCGCTGGAAACAAGCGAATTAAATCTCCCAAAGTAACCAAAGAGCTTTCCACCCTACCCCACCCCACCCCTTTCTGAGCCGAACTCAGAAAGGAGCCTGGTGGGTGCAGTGGACTAAACTACTGTTAAAATAGTATTTAGCTGCCAGCTGCCTGCAATTACTGCGAGTTCAATTCTCACCAGGCTCAAGGTTGACTCAGCCTTCCATCCTTCCGAGGTAGGTAAAACGAGGACCCGGTTTGTGGGGGTAATAAGCTGTATAAAAAGAACACCGCTGGGGGGGGGGGCAAAAGCCCTACTAAGCAGGTATATACAAAAGTATGAAGGCTATTGCTTAATGCATTGTAAGCCGCCCTGAGTCTCCAGAGAAGGGCGGCATATAAATATATCAATCAATCAATCAATCAAAATAAATAAATAATAATAAATGAATGAATGAATGAATGGCCCGACGAAACCGGGGCCTTAAACCGCGCCGAGTCCCGTCCTGTCTCCGAAACGGGTCTGATTACTCGAGTCTCGTATCCATCTTGGCCCAGCCTCCTTCAAGCCCGTGTGATAAGTTGGCCACGCTGGTTGGGGATAAAGGGAACTGTACTGCAGGTTTCTGGAAGGTCGGATGGGCATATTTACCCAGGAACATTTACCGGTCGTGTGTATGTACCTATTGCGCTGCCAGGATCTCTCTCCTGTCTTTCCTTCCAATTAGCATTCTTAAGGCCAGGGAAACAATGCCCCGCTTCACAAGCCCCTTTTTGGACTTGTTAACATTCCAGATCGGCGATGGGCCTGGATCTCACCAACAATAGATGTAAAGTTATCCTTACGTCCTTACGAGAATGAGCGAATCGGAACTGACAGGCCATATTACAGGTCGAGGTAAAATCCCACCTGGGAGCTTTGATTTCTGTGGTTGGGGAAACTAATAGTACCTAGAGCAGGAGCTGCTTCCGGAGACCAACCGCTCATAAGCTCCGGCCTTTCCCACCACCGGGGCGCGGAAAGGGGTCTTGGAAACCCACCCCAATCCAAACCTCCCTCCAGGCAGAAAAACCCAGAACCTACAAACTGCTCTGCTGGAAGAGTTGCAAGGGAGGGAGAGTCGCCCCCTCCCGGCCAGCCCCCACGCTGGAGGAGGCAACCGAAGGGGTTATTATTATTATTTTTTCTTCTAAAGCCGGCGCAGAAGTTTCTTCACATTAGCTCCGTTAGACGTGGCAGGGGTTGTTTGTTATACTGTGTGGCCCGAAGAGCCCACCGGCGGTACCAGTGAAGTCAATATGCGAGATAATCCCGGGTTAGTGTGTTTCGATTTCTGAGTGTCCCGGGTTAGGTCTCCCCCCTTCAAAAGGCAGCCTTTCCCACGAAGGAAAAAGCCTTCGCATCACAGACAAACCTGCCCGGAACAAAATGCAGTGCGCGAATGACCTCAGTTATCCAACTCGGCGGCACTTCCAGATTTGTGGATCTACAATTCACGTGCAGGAGAGGGAAGCTTCAAGTTCAACAAGCTGGAAGATCACGACAGAAACATTTAGGGCTCGTCAGCGCGATGCTGAGAGAACCCTGGGGGTGGGGAGGGGTCAAAGAAGCGGGCGGGTTGAGCAGTGTCTCTCGGCGAACTTGTCACCGATCCCCTGGTGAGCAAATCCGTTTTCCATAGAAGCAAACACCCGAAAGAAGCCGAGTTTCTATCCCTCCCGCCCAGTGGTGAAATCCAAATTTTTTTACTACCGGTTCTGTGGGTGTGGCTTGGTGGGCGTGGTGTGGCTTGGTAGGCATGGCTGGGGAAGGATACTGCAAAATCCCCATTCCCTCGCCACTCCTGGAGGAAGGATGTTGCAAAATCTCCATTCCCACTCCATTCTGGGGCCAGCCAGAAGTGGTATTTGCTGGTTCTCTGAACTGCTCAAAATTTCCGCTACCGGTTCTCCAGAACCTGTCAGAACCTGCTGGATTTCACCCCTGCTCCCGCCCCTTCTCCCCAACACACCCCCTCCGGGTGAAAACATTCGGGAGCCTCTCCAGGATTGCAAGATTCGGAGAATTCCTGCAGCGAGCAGTTCGAAGATTCGAATTCGAAGTTCGATTCCCCGAGGAAGCCACCTCCTCCCCTTCCTCTAATAAGCAGCGGGGGATGAGACAATCGGACCGTGGCCACTGGCCTTGGGAACTCAAGGCTGAGCCAAAGCTACTTCCTACCGCGTTCAAAACCTGTTGGCCTTCGTTCCCCCTTCAGTTGGCTCTGGAGACGTCAGCCTTCCCCTCCCGGGCTCTCCTGGCCCCCTTGGCTCTGCAGGGATGGTTTTAACCCCAGGAGCGAGCAGCAATATAGCCAGGGTCTCAGCAGAACAAAGCTACCCCGAGGCAGGCTAAGAACGCGCTCCCTTCGGGACTCATCGGTGTCTAACGCTCCCCTGCTTTGCGTCCTTTGACTCCCTTCAGGACGGTCAGCCTGGGTTCTTACCGTGGAAATCCGGGAAGCGGGGCGCCATGATCCCGGCTCGAATCCAGTGCTCCAGCGGGAAGGAACCGACCCCCACGGCCGCCTTCAGAGGTTCGACTCCCGGCTGCGACAGCGGGGGGAAAGCGGCGGGGTAGGCGAAGGCGGAGTGCTGGCCTGCCAGAGCTGGGATGGGGTAAAGCGGGGGCGGGTAGATGGCTGGCAAGCCGCCGAGCGCCGGCGGAGGCAGGTTCAGCAAGCCGGGCTTCGGGATGAAGGCGGCGGCGGGCAGAGGGACCAAGCCCGGCGGCGCGCAGGGAGAGGGCGTCTCGGTCCGCAGGCAGGCGCCGGGACTCCCGGCTGAGCTCTCCGGGGAGACGCTGGACACCGGCCGGGCCGGCTCCTCGGCCAGGAGGGCGTCGATGCGGAAGTTTTGGGATTTCTCCATGGGCTTCTGCATGCCGGCTTCCTTGGAGCCTTGCTGCCACTTCGGCCCCCGCACGGCTCTACCTTCCCGGTGCGACGTCGTTGGGCGTGCGGCGCTGCTCCAGCCCCTTCCTCGGCACACACACCTGCCCGATTGCCTGGGCGCGCCGCTGCCCCCCTCTTCTGCAAGCCGCTACTGCGGGGTGGCTCCTCCTTTCCCTCCCCCTCCCCTCCGGGCTGACAGGCCAGGCGAGTCTTGCAAATCCCCTCCCCACCTGTCCGTTCGCTCCCCGCCCCTCGCCCCTCCGGCCGAGACCCCCCTTCCCCTCCCCAGGCAAGAGCTGTTGCCCCATTGACGCGTTTCGGGGGTCGTCCTCTCCCCCCAGTCCCGATTACGAGTCGGCACTGGAATTAAAATGAAAGGCGATTCCCATCTATCCACCCAGGGGTGAAATCTAGCAGGTTCTGACAGGTTCTGGAGAACCGGTAGCGGAAATTTTGAGTAGTTCGGAGAACCAGCAAATACCACCTCTGGCTGGCCCCAGAGTGGGGTGGGAACGGAGATTTTGCAATATCCTTCCCCTGCCACGCCCACCAAGCTACACCACGCCCACCCAACTACACCACGCCCACCAAGCCACGCCCACAGAACCGGTAGTAAAAAAATTGGATTTCACCACTGCACCCACCCCGTCCCTAGCCAATCTTAAGGTGCTGCGGAGACCTTCTCATTCGCAGCCTAGGATAGCAGCCACCGTTCTCCAGGAATTAAAACAGAAGAGGTTTTATTGGGTCTGCTCTGGGGGTTTAGTTTTAGTTTAGCCGGAAAAGAATGAAGCTTTTGCGCTGACCGCTTCCAGCGGAAAGCGAGAAACGATCATTTTTTCTTTGAACCAGCTCTGTACACTAAATGGAAAAGGGTCGACTTGGCGATTTTATCAGGCAGCGTCAATTCAAGGAGAGGCTGCGCATTCTCCAAGTTTCCTAACGATATGCACCAGTGGTGATATTAAATTTTTTTACTACCGGTTCTGTGGGCGTGGCTTGGTGGGCGTGGTGGGCGTGGCAGGGGAAGGATACTGCAAAATCCCCATTCCCTCCCCACTCCTGGGGGAAGGATATTGCAAAATCTGCATTCCCACCCCACTCGGGGGCCAGCCAGAGGTGGTATTTGCTGGTTCTCCGAACTGCTCAAAATTTCTGCTACCGGTTCTCCAGAACCTGTCAGAACCAGCTGGTTCATTATGGCCAGCTCTCTACTGTCTAATGCAGGGGTCTCCAACCTTGGCAACTTTAAGCCTGGTGGACTTCAACTTCCTCCAGGTTTAAAGTTGCCATGGTTGGAGAGCCCTGGTCTAATGTCTCTATTAAATAATGGGTATAGAAGGCTCAGGAAGATACACCAACACAAGGCTAAAAAAAAACCCAAAAAACTGGCTTTTCAAAAGCTCCAAACTTGCGGCAGAGATACTAATATTGGTGGGAACTGAAATATTTTTTGCCTCGCTCAGTGAAGAGGTCTCTGCAATTTATCAGAGATCAATTCAATCTTTGTTTTCTTGGGAAACCCAGTATGACAGATGGGGATTCGGGTCCATCTCAAATAACACCAGCAAGACATTTATTACATATACCTGTAGTCCCGTGTCTCATGCCCTGACTCTGGTGATGCAAGTGACAAGAGTCTTACTGACTTGTAGGCTGTTTATAGCTGAGAGCAGTTGAAAACATTGGCTGTCAAATTTAGACAGACCATGCCCACACAACTTGCTATAGCAGTTGAATTCCCATATATTGCTAAACCATAAACAAGGATGTACAAGCCACACTCTCTGAGTTCATATAACATACTGAGTTAAAGGAAAACTACATAGGGTCTTAGCACATGGTTACACCCCTTTGTCTCCCCCAACCCATTCTCTGCTCCTTTCTGTGGAATCAGTGTTGCCAGTGGCTGTGGGCTTCACCTTTCTGATTTGTCTGTTTCTTGAAAATGCTGCTTCCCTCACCACCACCATTTTTTGATCTGTGAACTCTAGTTTCTCTGGTATGTTACATTTTTCAGGTTATTAACCCTCATGGGACCAAAAGTGTGGGCTCTGTAGTTTACAACAAAGAGATATGTGCAATAACAGCAAGGTGGCTTTTTAATTTCTCTTTGCAGAATCAAATTCAGAATTTTAAAAGGTGGGGTTTTTTCCCCTTTCACTACTCCACTTTATCCTGAAGTCATCCCTATTAATTAAAATAATCCACCTGGATAATTAATCATAGGATCTGATTGCTTTGGTTAAATAAAAAATGTCAGAAGGTTGCAAAGTGAGGACTATGTGGGGACAGAAAGCAGAGCCTCCAAAGGGTTGGAAGACGGGGATAAAATGTGAGCTTACATTACTGTATCCTCCCCATCTATCTCTGGTGATAGGGGCAGGAGGGGGTGATTTTTCTGAATTAGAAATATAATGCTGGTGTTGCTTAGGATGTGGATTTCCATGAATGGAACCTGTAGTAGATCCATCCAACAGATTGTAAAAATAAGTTCGAATGTTCTTTCTTTTCATAATGGAAAACTACTGCTATCTGGGATAGCTGTCTCATTTTGGCTAATGTGAAGGCTGAACACTTGCTGTGATGCTGAGAGGCCCGGCAGGTTACAAGTGAGGATACATCTTATTCCCTTTCTAGAGAATTCTGGTGGAATTATTCAGCTGAAAGAGACTCTAGGAGTTTCTGACCAACCCTTGCCAGCCAGAAGCTTGATTTTTTTTTTTAATTCCCACAAGGAAGTCAATGTAGGAATGTGGAGATGATCTTGGAGCAAAAATAATTCTATTGTGGCTAATACCCAATTTGTAATCAGCATTCTTTTCTATTTCTATTTTACACAGGTATTTAAGTAATTTGTCACCAATGCATCTTATAACAATGAATTCCACAAGTTAATATTGCACTACCTGCTCATTTGTTAGCTTCTATTTAGTTTTTTTAAAAAATCATTTTGTTTGAATTATATTCAGACTTTGGGGAGGCCTAATCTAATATAGGTGAAATGTTAATATATAGTCCTAGTCCATGTATGATACGCCATACGTAAATAAATAATAATTTGGGGAGGTAATTCTCATGTACTTCTAATAAAATTAATAAAATTGTTATTTTTAAAATTTTTAAAAACTAGATAAGTCTATGGTGACTATCTCGCGTTCAGTTTTATTATCTGAACTGAGCTTCACTTTTAGTAACACGATTAAAGCAAATGATTTCTTCCTGCATTATAAATAATTTTATAACATTCCATCAGTATTCTGTTCTTTTTTAACACACAATAATAAATAATAATAATAATTCATCCCAATATATAGAATCTTTTTCCCCTTTAGCTCCAACATTACATTTTTAAAAGACAATGAAATAATATATTATTCATTCATTCATTCATTCATTCATTCATTCGTTTATAATAAACAAACAAACAAACAAATAAATAAATAAATAAATAAATAAATAAATAAAATAAATATATTATGGTGTTAATATTACCCAGCAATGGGTAGCCCTTAGATATTACAGAACTCTATATTCCTTCTCTTTAAGGTGCAAACAACCAGATTCACATGTGCAGAATTCAAGCAAACTATTTTACTACGTTCTGCATATAATACAGGAGTCTCCCCAGTCTGACAGCCTGTTCTTGGGAACAAGTAGATGATGCCCTTAGGAACTTGGTCCTACCCCTTTTGCAGTTATACAGTGACTCCAGACTAACTCTCTACTTGAACCCTCCTCCTTGCCAGGCTGGTAACTTCCCAACATTCTCCTTGATAGGCAAGTGTGGTGTTGGTAGCTGGAGCTAAACAACATTCAAACTAAAGATCACATTTTGACCATTCCTACATTATCTCTAATAATTAATCCTTCAAATCCTTTCTTGGGAAGTCGAAACCTACTTCTGAATAGACCTGGAAAGAATTGCACTTTTCTATCCTAATTGATCATATCTGTACCTAGCCTGGACATCAGGTGCAAACTACAAGAATGCAAACATCCCAAAATGTGGACTGTGATATCAGGATGCAATCCCTGGCCTTTTGGGCTTGTGGGGTTTGCTGTGATATACGGTAATGACATTTTTTTCAGCATCTACCTGCCCTGCTGAAGTCTATAGTGACTCAGAATAATCTTCTGACCCTTTGATGCATACTTGCTTGCCCTTTTTCCATCTTGTTGGGGTTCTTGTTAATTTTACTGTAATGACATCACTGATATATTTTTCTCTTTCCAGGAAAGGTGGCCTACTCAGACATCTTCAGGATTTCACATAGCTGACTGATTGATATCAAGTAAGACTATTATTAATACTGAATTGGCTTCCTGTGTTAAATGTGTATGACTATTATGAAATCATAAAGATAAATTTTGTACCAACTTTTACAAGATTTTGAATTTTAACTATTTCATTCCTTGCTGTAAAACACTCCTATTAGACAAGTACACAAGTAATAAGCACATTTCAAATCATCCACAGATTGCCTTTTTCATTGAAACTGTTGAGTGTTCTTTGTAGATTTAGATATAATGCAATTTTATCTCAAATAAAAAGAAAGTAGCAAATAATTTTTTTGCTTTCTTATTTCAGATGTAAAGGTGTTTACTTTGCCCATAGGTCTTATCACCTAATTCTTCTTTTGACTTTTTTAAAAATCAAATTCTTTCTAAATCTAGAGGGTGTGGATATGTTTTACTGTAAGTAGAAAATATTTCTTCAAAGGTTGCTTCAGTCCTAAATTATTACTGATTGTCTCAAGAAGACTTTTCCCAACCATGTGCTATAGTTAAATTGGATACTAAAAGATAAGTCTCTCTCTCTCTCAAGTCAAGCTCGATTGATTTTTTTTTTTAAATAAATAAATAATTGGTTTGCCAAGTACTTTTTTCAGAATGATGGTGATTTGGATGTTGTTGTTGGTTTTTTTTCTCAGTGTAATCTACAATCCAGGGATTTCCTGGTCCTCAGATACTGTCTAAATACTAATC